GAGAGGAAACGAGCGAAAACGAGCGACTGCTCACGATTGCTAGGCTAGCGGAGTATCGGCTGAACGCACCCATTGCACCAGTTCAACTAGTGCAGCTGAGGAACAGCTGCTTAAAAGGAACGGACCTGCTATTAGATTCTTGTGTCAACGACGAATTAACCTATTTAGCTAATTTCTTTTCGAATGTATCTTATCGATAATTAGGCATTTGTTAAGGAGAATTCTCTAAGAACGAAGCGAGGGTGAACAATAGATATGTTGAAGTTCCCAAGATTATTAGTAAATCACGTGAAAGCGTTGGCGACGCCCGCTTTACCGAGCAAGGCGGATCATCTGTCACAACAAACACGGGTAATTTCTTTTAATATTACTCAGGCAAAGATATAGCCATTCGTACTGTACATACACGTGCATTTTGTCATTCCTGAAACCGTCTAATAGAATCTGACATTAATAAGATTATTAAATTGTTTCAATGCATATTCATCTTTAATTCCTATATTTATTTGTTTAACATTTTTTGCAGAACACCTTTATTCTCAAGAGAAGATTTCCAACGTCTCTCCACGCGAAGAATTCCAGGCCCCATCGATTGAAAAAGAGGCATTTTGTATACGATCTCGTTGAGGATACGAATGTAAGAAGAAGGGAACCGGTTGATTTGATTCTAACGCAATACGTAACGGGACTTGGTAATGTGGGCACTCGAGTATCGATGCATCCGTCACGGGCATACCAAGAGCTCTTACTGCCGAGACTGGCCGACTACGCTACTCCTGAGAATATTGAGAAATACACGAAATTGGCAACGGACCAGAAGGACAGCACGCCGTTCAGCTCTGCCTTGGTAGAAAAAACGATCAAGTACCTGTCGCAGAAGCGGATAACAATCACAATGTCGAAGGACGTGCCGTGGACGTTGGAGAAGTGGCATATAAAAGCGAATTTCCGCAAGGCTGGTATCCACCTACCGGAGGACGCTATAGCGATACCCGAAAGGCCAATATCCGGGCCGAATCTGGATCTAGAGGGAAAGGAGTTTTACGTGACTCTTACGATTAATAATCGCGAGCAGGTGAAGGTGAGATGTCTCCTGCATCACTGGACGCTGGAAAAGCCGCCGATACCCGGTGACGAGTTCTGGAAGACGCCAGGCGAGCCGATATTTCCCGAGGACAAGCCGATTTTAGACTCTCTTCCGCCCTTCTGGGTGGAAAAAAAGAAAACTATATCGTATTTCTAATGTATTGTGTTACACTGTAAATAAATAACGCTTAACGGGGAATAAGAATGCACACGTTTTCTTAAAAGTTCCCAACTTAGATATATCTTGAATTCCGCATAAGCATTATGATATTGGTTTACAATGATAATTGTGCTCTTTTGTGCGATTTGATGAGAATCCTCCAACAAGATCTATAATGACTGCCGTTCTGATTTCGGAGTCCAATAAGTGCTTTGAAGTATATATACTTGTACAATGTAGAACTATATCTTCCTAGAATCAATAATTTGACTCTGTTATACCTTCACTGTGTTTGAGATCGTGGATAACCTGGAAATCTCTACTATGAAATCGTAAACAGAAAGCGCTATCATATTTCTATAATATAATATGATAGCTCAATATGGGCGAGAGGTACTTCGCGTGGGATGAAATTTCAGAAGGATTAATTCTATCAAGGTGAGAATAATTGAGAAAATTCGGAATTCTTTTTTCGCGTACTTAGGACACCTCTGATTAGCTTTTTTTACATTAAGATCGATTATTTAATTTTTAAACTTCAAAAATTTACTTGGAACGTGCGGCATAATTTAATATCGCAATATATTTGTGATCGGCATGTGAGCATATCATTGTGATATGTATTTTTATCTGCGAATATCCATACGTTTGTGTTCTAACTATCATTGTTTGTATTTTCATCCTATTTAATAAATTTTTTATCCGTGGTATTACGATTGGATTTGGTTTAATTTTTCGGAAAATACTAGACACTAATTAACATAAAAGAAAGCTCTCGCCAGTACTTTTATTTGTTGAAAATTCCTGTTGCATTGATCAGTGCGGCAAAGGCGGAGGATGAACAAGCCAAGCGACGAAAGAAACGAACCGCTGCCGTCCAAAAGTCGGAAATTTATTGTCCGCACGCGTATCTAATTTTGTGCTATCGGGAAACGTTGAATGACAGCGAAAAGGTGAGGACTGCCCTGATGGAAATAAATATTTTACTGAAAATATTATAATAAAATTTTACTGAAATTCTCTCTCAATTGATCCCATTTTATTGTTATGGCATCAATATTTCAGTAAAAATTTAGTTTTCAGTTAAATTCGGACCCCAGTTCATTATTATCAATATTTCAGTAAAAATTCAGTTAACTTCAGTAAATTTCATGACATAAAAAACTTAACATAAAAAAATTTGTTATTTTTTATAGTATAATTTAACTTTCCTTATATTTCACAATGTTACATTACATTTCATAAGGAAAATTATTATTTATTTTGAAATATATTCAGTAATTTTTCAATAACTTTTATTTCACTTTTCATCGATTTCATAGTATTTTCAGTTGGGCGGATCTGATGGAGATATTTTGCTGAAAGTAAATGCTATGAAATCAATGAAAAGTGAAATAAAAGTTATTGAAAAATTACTGAATATATTTCAAAATAATAATAATTTTCTTTATAAAATGTAATATATAATACTGTAAAATATGAGGAAAGTTAAATTATACTATTGAAAAGTAAAAACAAAATTTCTTTTATGTTAGGTTGTTCATGAAATGGAGTCAATTGAGAGAGAATTTCAGTAAAATATTTCTGTCAGGCTGGAGCGCAGGTAAATTTTTCATTCTCGATACCGAGAATAATTTCTTCAATTACAGATCAAATTTCGGAAGCATTATCTGAGAAAAGTAACGCCAGACGAGCCGGACATCATAATCCTGCAGGACATCAAGGACCTCGTGCTCTTCCTCCTCGTAACGTCCGTCAGTCCGCAGTTCATAAATTTTTTCCACTTGTCGGTCGTGGATCGATTTTTGAGGGCACTGATCATTTACTTCCAACGCTACGTGGAGATATGGGAAGATCTGGTGCAGGAGCGGGCGGCCACCATGAAGAAGGCGCCAAATCCACTGGCGCGCGGACACAGGTCCCGATACGCCGATGAGATGCATGCCCTGCGCTGCGTCCTGGGTAGGGAGTACGTGGACTTGTTGCTGGGCTGCCGGGACGGGCCCCGGTATCATCACATGATGACCGGCGAGAGACGTGCAGCCACGCAATCGCAGGGAGAGAAGGACCTGCGGATCTACGAGGCATTGATAAGCGTGGCCCATCGGGTCGTGTGGATAGCGTTGCAGCGGAAACATTACACCCTAATCGGTACGACGAAGAGCGTACAATGATACACGATGTTCGCAAGATGCTTTGGCATGCTTCGAGCAACTGATCGCCGCGTCGCTGATCGCTTGTTTCACAGAGTTGGAGCTGCACAGGCTGCTCCGAACCGAGGCGTACAACACAGCGCAAAGACAAAGCGGCAGTCGACTTATTCAGGATATGCTGGAGGATGATATCCGTATATTACATGGTCTCGAGACGACGTTGAAAAGCCGAAAATTACTGAGAAACTCCCCCTTGCCTCGCGAGCTGATGTACGCGGATTGCGACTATCGTCTTCTGTCGTTAGGTGATATATATTATTTATAGAAGCATATTCTGTCGTTAGGTGATATATATTATTTATAGAAGCATATTCGTATTCAAGGTGATTTACGGAAATAGTATATTTGAAGATATTTAGAGTATTAGGGTATATAGAAACAGTGCATTTTTATATATCCGGAATGACTTCGACCAAACTCCAACTAATTTAATCGATTAATTCAACCGTTGCTTGAAATAAAATTTCTAACTATATAATTTATCCTTAATCTAATCTTTTTCCACATATTAAACAAAACATTAATAATTCTCACAAGTAAAGATGTCTGTCATGGATTGGAGGGAGGTCCAAGTTCAAACTCTGGCTGGAGTAATATTTTTCGCAATAAATTCTTTAGTTATTTAAAGAATGTTTATTAGCATCAAAAAGTTAAATCGATTTAAGTATGTCGAATTTTTTGTTCCAACGAAAAACTTTTATTTTAAGACCGACAAATAATCGGCGCACAGTTTGGGTGGAGGAAAGTATTATAAGTTCACACAAAAATATTAAGCTACAAAGATCCAGCTCGACTGAAGATAGCATATTGCTATTTACTTGTGAGAATCACTTATCGGTCAAAGTTTCACTTATTATTAATGATTAACAATTTTATCAAAAATAGTACAAGTGATAAGTTAATCATTGGAGTAAATTAATCAAAGTTTGATCGAAGTCATTCTTAATCATCTATTACTAAACCATAATATATCTGCGCAAAGGATAAAGTATTTTGCGTAGCAAAAATATTATAATTGTTCGTACTTCCATCTAAAGGGGTGGTCGATATCGACCTACATCATCCGAAAATCGCTTATCTAAGAAACGCTCTTCTCGTCGACGAGGAGATGCTGTCTCAGTTGAAGATTAAAGTAGGCATCCTGGGTCATAATCGTTCGGATTACGACATAATGTTAATGCCGTACGAACCGGAGGAACCGACGGAACCAACGGAGATTGGTTTACTCGACAAAAAATCGTTGGAGACGAGAAAGAGTATCTTTGTACCTAAAATCTTGGTAAGCGTCCTATCGCTCATGTAAGAACATGAATTTTAACTGGATACGCAAAAAGGATCAAATCTCTGAGATATTTCTATTTCGTGCAAAGGAACAAATTGAGGAGATCGAAAGCTTGCCTGAGGAAGTGATGGAGGAATTCCCAGTGAGAGAGATTCAAGAATTGAACGAAAGATACGACAAGATTCGAGAAAAAGCCCGGATAAAATGGATTCTTCGAGAAATAAAACGACGTGAACGCAAAGCTGTTGACACCTACTCTATAGCGACAACTTTAGATTGAATGCCCAAGGAATTTCACAAGAAATTAAAATGATATTTATGTATTAATACGGATAAATTCTAAATTCTCTCTCGAATATCGATGAAGAATGAATTAACGAATATAATATTTTTGGTTCTTACTTATCTATCGATATAAAAATAAAATACACAAATCCAGTTGTGTTTCGTCTAGCCGACATTATCATTAGGATATGAATAAGGATGGATATAAACTGAACGCTATAACACAATGTAAAAAATATGCTTATTATAATTGTTGATGCCTAATCAAGAGTAATAATGCTGATATTTTACAAGAAGATACACATATAGGTACATTTCAAGCAATGCGTTACGATTAAACTCGGCATTGTCCTGTTCATAAATAATTACTGTACCTAATCGCTACCGCTATATACGTAGTAACAATACATACGACGTTAATTTAATCCCCAATGTGGGTCGACATGTAAATTATCCCGTTTTCGTTTGCATCTACATGCGATAAACTCACTTTAGCGCTTTTTTTTGCAATCGCTTACACTCAGCTAAACGTTTATTATTTAAAGTGCGCTTTGCTCCAGTGCGATCCGTTTCTCTTGAACAAGTAACACGCATTATATCGCAACATAAACCGAAAAGAGAGAATGAAAGGAGATGTTTCAATGTTTGGCACAATGATTTTGATAATAAAAACCAGATTTTATAAACATCTGCCCGTTATTATGCACACACACGTTCGCGTTTTGAGTAATTTGCTTCATCTGTAAGCTAAATATGTAATATATAATAGTTTCCCATCTCATCACGTTGTTACGATATGTATTGAAATTATGATGATTCATAATATATCCGTTTTACCATTACACACGGAATTATAACAATGTACTGTTGTGCACGTGTGGTACTTTAGAAGTCAACTGGCAGTAAGAAATTCAACCATTCACGCCGATCTAGTTTTACTTTCAGAATCTGTGCCTTTATGCTCCTCATAAAAAAAAAGAAAAAGATCCTCTTCTCAAATAATCATCGGAAGAGTGCTCTCTTGAAAAAATATACGTGATAACGTTTTCTTTTACTAATACATAGCTAATGCGCAGCGTGTCATCGTCTCATTATAAGGCTGCAAAGCGTGTTGCACGTTCGGTAACAATGTTGAAAAATGAAAATTTTTTCGGCACTTCTTGCTAATTGTTACTTCATTTAGATATTACAGCTACTCTATCGTCGCTCAACATTTGTCTACATGAATATAATACAGAATGGATAAAATGACAATATTGATCATGCACATATTAACAATATAACGTTATTTAATAAATGTGATTATTTGTGTTACTGTAGGAATCAGATGATGGAAAAAAACGTGATTATATACACTACGTGTCACATATATTTATGTAGACATATGTATAGATTTTTTTTTTATAAATTCAGTCCTGTGTTTGTACAGACACAAGGTTTTATAATGAAAATTAAATTCTGGAAAAATGTATTTTATTTAAATAAAATAAAATTCAAATATAGTAATTTATCCTAGATCAATATTTTTTTCATGTGCTGTATATTTTCACCATTGGAAAAATAATGCAAATACCAATTTTTACATTCTGCAAAATAATGAATAATTTTACTACGACAATTTGCTCTAATGTAAGAATGATATATATGTATGTATATATATATATATATACAAAGTTATATACGAACACCAAATATTTCTTTCAAATATTACGTTTGTTGACTCCAATTATTCTGTACTTTAATTTGTAAAGTTAAACTCCAATTTGTAAACCTGAATACGTTTCTCACAGTTGCTATAGTATAATCGATAACAGATAAAATCATTACAAATCAGTCATAAAAATACCTTTGTACCTATTATTTGAGTAATCAGTAATTAGCTAGACATTACGTGTAGTTCAATAAATATGGGAGCTATTAGAGTAACGTAATTTAGATAACTCCTCCGCTGTTTCTTTCAATAAAAACAAGCCATATATAAAAATGAAAACTTTTTTAGCTCGCGTGTGTTGGAATAAAGTTTGAACCATTTACGTGAATTGCGTTCACTTCCTCTCCATCTACTTATACATTTCGTTACCCCCTCCAAAATGATTGCGTGTATTAATTGCAGCTATAACCATTTTTCTAAGCAAATTTGTCAAGTGCAAGTCAAAGTATCTGCAAATAAGCTACAAAGATATTGCATTTATTATAATAATGACGCAGAATGTCCGTGATTATTTGTCAAAAAGGATGGAATTCTCGATTTTTTACATTACTACTTGTTTGACATAAACCTACCTGGTGGTATTGTACCCAATGCTATTTATACTAAATTCATAAATTTGCTATCGGTTTTTTTTTTCATTTTTTTCATTTGTTACTTTCTGTATGTCAATCCCTGCCATTATCTCGGACTTGCGTGGCTACGTAATAACAGTCTATAACACAATCTTACGTTTAGCAGCACAGACACAAACAGTATTTCTTTCTACGTTACAAGGAACACGCACGAATTCCTTTCAAAAAAAAAAAATTATTACGTTAGGATTGGTGGGGCTACGAGGCAATATCCGACATAAGCTGGGCGAGCAATGCCGGCTCTAAAAGTCCATGCGTCTGCCCCATCCTCTCCAAGTTTCGTACATCTTTATCAACCTCTTCCAAAGCCCGTTGCAATTCCTCCTCTTCTTCTCTCGACGGCTCATAATCTCCGTTTCTACCCTCTATAAATTTAAACAACTTACATTATCTTACAAAATAAATAATTAACGAATTCTACACAACTGCGAGATTCACAAAGTGTAGAATACCGAAAGTATGGATGTCCAATACAATGTGAAATGCAATTACCGATAAATAAGTCGTTAAAAGCATCCGGAGGTAAGTTGTTCAGCACGGTGCCAAAGTCATGCTCGGCAGAGTCCAAGGAAGCGAATACTTCGTTATCCCCAAGCTCGACTTTGAGCCCTCCGCTCAGACCAAGAGAGCCTAATCCCAATCCTAGATTTAAGTTAGACGAATTTGAACTTCCCTGCGGAACATTCAGGTTGTTCAACGTCTTGTTATGGTTTTCACTACAGTTTATTTGGCTCATGTAATGACTCTCCTCGTGCATCAATGCAGCACCCTTGGTAGTCTCTATCTTATTCGAGGGCGGCCGTTTGCGTTTTTTCGGCTTGGACTTGGGTTTAGGCTTCGCCGGGATAGGGGGGGAGGCTGGCTTTTTACGAGCTTTCTTTGGTTTGGATTCTTGAATTTTACGGTGATAATTGTCCCTCTTCCGCGCGTGCTCCGGGCAAAGAGGCAATTCGTGCGCAACGTCAAACACAGGAACACAACACTGTGTGTTGTCACTAAACTTGGCAGTGCAATGCTCGAATAAAAGCTGATCTCCGTTTAACATAATGTGGCGGGAGCAATGCCGAGTACAGGGCAAAGACGTCTGTTGGCATCCCTCCGCCCCGCACGGCCCGCCAACTAGCAACGGCCCGTCGAGTATCTTGCTGGTGCTCGGCGAGTCGCTCAAAGCTCGCGCGGTAGAAGCGGGATCTTTGGAAGCGGCCTCCAACAAGCATCTGACCCTGTGCCGCAGTACAGCTTCAGCGTCAGCCCCCTCGATACGCAACTGAAGCAATTGTCGTTGTAGCTGCGAACGCAGTTGGGACAGTCGAGCCGCTCGATTCGGCGACGCAGTGGACTCGCCGGGGAACCAATGATGCTGATAGATCGTCATCTCGTCCCCACTTGAATCGCTGTCGGATATCTCATCCCCGGCCCTCGGATAATACAACAGCGTGTGGTCCCGACTTTGCCTCCTAGATCGCAATCTCTGCAAATTCTCGGTGTGTTGCTGCTTACGCTTAACTAGATTAGAAAATTTGTGACCCAGGTTCACCCCAATCCCGTCTTCGACGCTCGTCTCCGCCGTGGCATTGACCCCGACAATCTTGTAGCCTGCGCCTGGCACAGGCGCCACCCTTATTCTCTGCTTCACGCATTTCCCCTTCGGCTTGTTGTTCTTGCAACTTTGCATCACTTCGGAATTTGTGGGTGGAACCACCGTGGCATTTCTCCCCGCTGCCGTGGCAAATGGTTCCGGTTCACTGAAAATGTACGGATCAACATCTTGATGTGCCTCGGTTTTCAGCAAAGCCTTCAATCGGTCCGAAAACTTCAATTTATTGTCCATGTTTGAGTTTTCGGAAATAGGGACCTTCATTGATTGCCGCTTCTGTCCAGATCTGTTCCACCTGCATTCTCAAATCCTCCAAGTCAACTTTCTTCCTATCTAGATAAAACTTAGTTCACGCTATGTGCCAAGATCCAAATACAAGCTAAGCTACCCCATTGATTATTAATAATGTAATACTGAGACTGTACATGAGAAAATTAAAAGAATTTTATGTTATATCACAGATATTGCTATTACCAAGTTAGCCAAGTAAAAAAAAAAGAAGATTTAAGCGTATTTGCACGAACCGAACATTATACACTACATAAGACTCAATAAATTAAAAGGTAGATTGGGCGATACACCAGTCACATTTGAGTATATCGATAACGTTACACTATAATGTATCTTTCTCCTCTAAACGTACACAGTCAAACAAGTCATGGAAATTGCGTTAAACTAACAGAAGGCTTGCGGAACGACTCAACGACTCTTTGTATGTCTACAAAGTACAGAGATTAATACTCGACCGGCATCGTCAACGTCGTTCAACGCTACTCGTGACTGCGACCTACGAATGTCCGCGACACGCGGGTTCCCTGGTTCGAACAACAAGCGTGAACTTAGTCCATTGCTAGATCAGGACAAAAACGATCCTTGCCTCGCATAGCAGTGCCTCTACGCCAAGCGACAGCCTACACATGTTGGAGCAACTGCGTCGTCGTCATCATCGTCATCATCGTCGTCGTCGTCGTCGCGTGTCGGGCGGACGTCAGGTCGGTGTGCAGCACTGCCGAAGTGGCACGCCTCGAGAATCCCGCGGTCGGGATCGTGGCCATATCACCGGAGGGTGATCTCCCCGCGCGCGGGGAATGCTCGACGTTCGTCGCTCCGACGGACGGGGTCCTGTCTTTCCTGCCTGCCTGCCTTTTTTCCCCCTCCGTTTAGGTTAGGTTCGCTCACGTCGGGACGACAGGACAGCCCGATCTCAGCGAGGCGATGGGAAGTACTCCCGGGACAGACCTCGCAGCATACTCGTGTCCCACGAAATGAGATCGCTCGCGATCGCAGGGCCCGCTGCTCGGCCACCAGCTCTCGTTCTCGACGTCGGACTCTCTCGACTCGGGGTGATCGAGGTTGGGACGACACACTGGCGATCGCTCCAGCGGACAAAGGCAACGGTCGGGGGCGGCACGTCGGGACGGCCCACGGCACGAGCTTCCTGCACTCGCGCGCGGACTCGCTTCACCACGGGCGATCACACACGACGCGGGTCACACGCGCAAAATTTCTCGACGTCCGTCGATAATAACATTAGAAAGACATGTCAAGACGTGCGGGGGCAGCAAAATGGCGGCCGCGGCGCGGCACGGGCCACGGCACGGGCCAGCCCTCGGGGCTCGGGCGAAAAATCCCTGAGTCCGCGGGCGATAATCGCCGCGGATTCGGCGACGGCGGCGGCGTCCGCGCCGAATTTAATTTCGGACGGCGCCGCGGGCGAGACGCGCGACGAGCGGGAGGCCGCGCCACGTGGCGAAAAGGATGATGTTCCGCGCTCCGTGAAACATAACCTGTACGCCGAGACGTATGTACGGGGTTTTCGAGTGAGCGACAATTTTTCCTTTCAGAGGCTTCTCTCTCTCTCTCTCTCTCTTTCTCTCGTACCTCGCGCCTCGTCGCGTCCCTCGAGCGTTTTAGAAGGAATGCTGGGAAAGGAGATGCGAGGAAATCGACGATCTTCTCGTCGTCATCGTCGGACTCATCAACGCATTCCGTGAATCATCTGACTTTCGAAAGCCGAGACAAGCAGACGAGACTTTCCCCGTATTCGTTCGCGTGAGCCACCGATAACGACTCGGCCAACTATGTCGGCGTTGCTTCATGCCTGATATCAGGATTTATCGCGATTCGCGAGCCATGCGTGAGTACAAGGTTTGTTCCTTGTAGCTGAACTTTTCACACGTCTCCTCCGCATCCTTTCCCTTTCTCCCTCCAGCAACTAGTTATTTATTTCACTTTAAATGCAGGAAGTATGACGTAGTACAATTACAAAGAATAGGATCCTGCGTTTGTTCCTCGCAGCTGAATAATCTTTTGCATCTTCTCAGACAGCACGCATGTCCGAAATCGGGAAGACGTCTTTACGATGTCTTATGTCCCGATTTTGGATACGATACTGCCTGAGTTCTTTTTTTCTCCGACGATGTATCCCACTTCATTTTAGGTACAGAAGGTATAAATGCGCAACTACGAAAGATATTTATTCTTTGTAGCTAAAAACGTTTTATCTCTCGTGTTTCTTTTTCTTCAACATTACATTATACAGGGTGATTCAGAAATACTTGTACAAACTTTGGCAGCAAGTTCTCCACATATGACAAGAAAAAAATGCCACATACACACTGAAAAAATCTAATAGATTTAGATCAGGCAAACACGCAAGTCTGAAATGTAATCTTTCGATTATAATTCAACCAGGCATTTCGCCGGACCACATGTATATATATATATATATATATATATATATATATGACTTTTCTTCTTTAATGTGTGGAGAACTCATCCTCAAAATTTGTAAAAGTATTTCTGAATCACCCTATATGTTCTTATCTTTTACCTTCTATAATCTGATGTAATTCATATTTAAGTAAATACGAAAGTCATCCTGGATGATTGTTGTATGAGTCATTTGAATTTTTGTGCGGCTGATAGGATTGTTTTTAGGAGAAAAAAAAACTTATATGACGATCTTGAAGTCTGCTTTCTACTTTTCTCTTAGAAAATTCTTATCGCGCTACTCGTGTTTGTATTAAATATACGTAACTTTCGCGAATGAAGGTTTGATTGCGGCAATCAAGTATGGAAACATTGGAAACCACGGGTTCGTTATCAGTTTCAAAATCTATAGTTCGTGGATCCGTCGCGAAAAGATTAATTACCCGGAATTCATTAATTTATTTTATTGGTCATTATGCAAGCCGAGTAAATCACTTCACGTTTGCAAAATGGATACGAGATTGTTTAGATCAAAAAGGAGCGTTACGCGATTCAGGGTTTTTCTCTCTTTATGTAACTTCCATAAATTTTGATAATATATAAATGACGATATAATAAATTTTATTATATGTATATATATAAAACGGAGTCCAGAGGAAAGATTTGATAAATCGAATATCTTCAAGTATGATGGCCATGATCGGTTGGCTCGCATTTAAACAACTATAGCTTACAGAAGAGGAAATTCAAAAGTGTCGTCCACCTGTTGATACTTAATAACATTCTCGAGGTTTCGTTTCACCGAGTTGAAACTTTTTAAATCTCAGAAATTACAAGCGCTCTTTTACCAATAAATGAAATAATACATTCATTTATAAGCAATATTGTTGTAATTATATGTATAATATAATTGCAACATATGAAATTTATTATATCGCTATTTATATATATGTATTATATATCACAATTTATGGAAGTTACATGAAAATAGAAAAACTTTTTGTGTATATTTAGAATGCATTGTATGTCGTATATAATGAAATTTATTGTATCGCCATTTATATATTATTTATCAAAATTTATGGAAGTTACATAAAAAAGAAAAACTGTGTATATTTAAAATGCACTGTATGTCATGTAAAAAGAACACGTAAAATCTGCGTGTCGAGAAAAATCTCTTTCATTCAGATGAAACGGAAATTAAATTGGACTCATGTTTGAAATACGTATTTTGTAAATAACAACACTGTGTTATCACAAATGTTTATCTTTCAACAAGGTGCTATACAACAAACTGTGTACACGTGACACACACGCTCGATCGTTCCGATGTTCCTGCTGAAAATCGGCAGAAGTCCGCTCATTTTTTGACAAACTCCATCCGACGAAATACCATGTAATATATTAAAACATATTATGTAACATAAACGTGTGTGTATATACTAGGATGCCTTACGAATCTCAATTTACATTGAGACCTCCATACAATTGTTAATTGATAACAAATAAATTTCAAGTTATTTTACATCATTAACTATTAAATGCACAATTGGCTCAAGGGAAAAATAATTAAACGAAGAATTTAATTCCCTTAGAACGTGAAAAAAAGAAAAAATGTACATTTGTGTGATTTGCTCTAATAAATATATATTCATCTCGAAATTTATTTACTCAATTATATCGGAGATGATTACGTGTGATCTGCGTAGTAATTTGAAAAAGATGTTCGTTACATTAATAAATGATGTAATTATGCAATAACAAACGATTTTTCTCTTACGAAAAATGGATTAGGTAAACGAAAGACGAATAACAATGTATACATACGTATGAACCAAAACATTATGAGAAAGAAGATTCGTGAATACAATATTCATAAGACTACCAATCTGTCTACCTGTTCCGGAGACAAAAATGAAAACTGTCATTCTTGGAATATTCTATTCTTCAAGTCGGTTGAACTGTTCTGACGACATTAAATTCTTAGTTCGAGGTATAGTTTGTGGTAGACCCAAGGGACGGTAATTCTTTTATTACAAAAGTTGTATTTGCAAACTGTTTATGAAATAGTCAGCGAATCTTCGTTACGTCGTTCGTCGTTGAGGTTTCTGTCCTTTAATAACAACTGGCCGGCCTTTTATGAAACCTCGCTTACGCCGTGCATTCTGAAACATCAATGCCCGACCCCCCATAACTTCAACTACGTTTCCTGATCAATCGATGCGTAACGATAAAAACGGCGAAACGATACGAAAAATCGTACGAATAAAAAAAGATAAATCTATTATTCTTTACCTTAAGACTTTACCATAAATGTAATATATGCATACCAACCTTTTTGCTAATATACGAATTCGCACGGCGTGTGATAACTCGCTCGGAAATCGGAATTCTTGGTCTATTAAACTCCGCTGGTTTCTTCACCCTACGAATGTGTTTCGAGATTAATATCAACGCATGACAATAACAGGAAAGTAGTGATACATTTAATTATAAGAGAAACCATCATAATTCACCTGTAAATCCTGACAAGCCAATGTTCAGTGGTGTAAGCTTCCTCCAGATATGTTAACTGGAAGTTCTTATTGCCTATTTCCGCATTACGAGTACGATCGTAACCGTAAGGCGACCGATAGTCTATTTTAACGTCCCCGAACCGGTAGTAACTCAGCTTGTACATCAGTGAGTTCAGTAGAGTTGGGGAGCCTTCAGAATCAACGCGGAATTCCCCCCTTTCGGTGAAATAATCACTCTCGCGAATGTCCTGGGGATGTTCGCCCTCGGCGATACGGACCATCCATAAGAATTTGTTGATATCGTCACCACTATATCCAATCATCCCGCCAAAAATGATCAACACGTAGTCCACATCCAGGGACGTCATGATCTCGTAAGCAGCACTTTCGTTCGAGCTCATCGCTTTACCGACCAGAGCTATGTGCGAATTATTCCATGTATTATTGTCTACGAGGGTAGTTCTGCAAAAGGGAAATTGACGTAGCAATGTCAAATCGCTTTTACATATATATTAATTTAAATACATATGACCTTATAAGTGTTGTACCTGTTAGCCATACCAGCAATCTGGTATCCGTAATCCCACCAGCTCATGACTCTCGCGTCATTGGCCGTGTTTTGGGCTAACCAATAATAAGCCTCTCGAAAATCGTCCAGTATAGCCCTACCGCCGTCGTTACTGTAGGATGCCAAAACGATAGATGGACTAGAGTAAGCATTGCTGGTCACCCACGTGCAGTGCACGGTAAACATCATCAGCAGCATCAGCATGCCGATGAGAACAACGTTACGGAGATTGGGACCTAATCCGTCACCGTTGCCTTTTGACCTCTCATGCTTCATTCTACGAAGTTTACCGGCTTTATCGTATAACGCTCTGCCGGGACTTCTCTCTCTTTCTTCTTCGCTCTCCTCGTTGCTCTCGCTACCGTTGTTTCCGTCCCTGTCCTCCTCTTTGAAGAACAGTTCCACGAGTCTGCTGACAGCGACACCGGCCAGCATACACACCACCGGAGTCAAGGTCAACATAAGCCTTACCATCACACCAGCGAAATAAACGGCACTTATGGCGTACAGTACGACTGCAAAGAAAATCGAATATTAGTTATCGTTAATGATATTTTATCCCAAGACATATTCCAGGATAGCGAATTCTTACCAAAGACACGTTCATCATTGACGTGTGTAATGCAGTACCAAAGACCGACCGGGAACAATGCGACAAGAACATGCAGATCAAAGAAAAAGCTGAACCAAGTTGTCGGTTGATGTTCCGATACAGACGCTATTATAGGGATATGTATCTTGGCATAACCGGTATCCCACAATGAGTAAAATCTACCGCTCCAGGGGGCGACAACGCCGGCGTACGTTAATACGATCAGAATGAATAGGAGCATAGCAGTTGTTACAGCCACCACACCACCGAAATATTTCATCTCGGACTTAGTAAGTACAGTTCTTAAGTATCTGAAATCAGAGAAACCACGATATGAGTACACAGCAATTGGTGTGTTTCCAAAATGTCTGGGTCAATTCTCATCAATGTAATTTTCGGATGAAAAATATGCTGTACAAACAAACGCAAATTTTTTTCTGTGTTACAAACATCAATAGTTGCAGGATAGTATAAGTAAAATTTTCAAAATTCAAATAACTATGCAAGCATTATTTGATATTGTTCGGCATTGGATATGACAATAAAGTTTGAATTCACAATTAAACTTTATATAATTGTAAGTCTTTTAGTTTGCACTATTTTTACATATTCTGTTAGCAATAGACTTTAATCAAGTCCTTTATTTCTGTTTTATCTTTTATGCTTGTGATTATCAATTTAGACAAAAAGAGGTAATTTTCATCAACCATTGAACTATTTGTGGATGCATTTTATCCATGTATTGGATGTATTGGAATTTTACTATATATTTATACTTGCAGTTGAGAGTTAAGAAACTAGTGAAATATGTTGATAGTCTAGCAAAATTTTATAAACATTTTAGGAACATGCAGTTGTATCACTACAGATTGATAATGTAGATTAAAATAATGCAAATAATAAGTCAATTAACATTATAGAAACAATACATACCTAAACGCTGCTACAAAGATTATAAGACCGAATACACCACTCGCTGCCATGTGCTCGGAAGTTCTAATCGGCTGAAAACCGACGAACGGTATTTGCATACTCAGTAAAAGTCCAAGAACGTAAAACGTGGTATAACTGGTGAATAACCGATTGCTAAAGCGATTCAGGACCAGTAAGGCAAATACATGGAGTGGAATCAGATTGATAATGAACACGTATCCTCCCCATGCCGATACCATGTAAAAGTAAGACAGGGCAGTTACACTCGCCCAGAAGATCGAGCCGGTCTTGACTGATTTAACCCAAAGATAGTAAGTAATTTGCAATGCAAAGATCGCGATTCCCTCGTTGTCGTAACTGCCGGCTACGGATCTCGAGATGTAGCCAGGTACGATGGCGATAAAACAAGCGGCAAACAAGCCAGCTCCGGCACTCCATATTTCCTTCGTTAATAAATACGTCGATATGGCAGTAAGGCCACTAAAAATTGGAGCTAGGAATACACATATGTCTCTTATATGCACTGGTATGTTCAGAGAGTGCAGTATGTAGTGTATCGATCCAGATGTTATCATGAGTCCAGGATAGACGGTTCCGCCAACAATCCGGCCCAATGGATACCAAGCCCGTTCGTCGAACCAATTTAAAAAATTGTAGAATCCATGCTGCACCATATATGCCGTCGCTCTGTAGTTGAACCTGAATTTGAAATACATTTGTCACATCTCAACCAGATAAAAATTCAGTGTTGTTTAATGTTTCGTTTCTTAAAATGCTATTTATTTTGTCGAAATAAATCAATGTACAGGCAATTGAAGAAACAAGATAGAAGTTAACAAATTATAAATTATTTAATCCATCAATACTTAATTCCCCCACGTTGTTTCCATTTAAGTACGAAATGTCGTCCGTTATCTCGCGCTCTCGTTACATAACGGTAAAATATTACAACGAGAATTTATCGTTCCTTCATGGGATACGATAACACTCGGCACGGTTGAACGACCGCGCGCCGGATACCTACCAGGGATCGAATTCGTGTATAATGCTTTCGAAGCGTATGACCGCGAAGAGCCTCGAGGCGAAGCCCGAGATCCAGGCGAGCAGGAGAACGGTGAAGGTGATGAGGGAGCTGAAGCCGGCGTTGTTCATCAGCGTGGAGGACTTCATCTGCTTGATCGTCGATCTTTTGTCGGGGAACATGACCTTCGCGTTGGCCGACGACATGGAGGACGAGGACGATGACGAAGAAGACGGGGGCAATTGTTGCTGCTGTTGCTGTTGCGACAACGACGACTTGTTCGGCAACATGTTTTTCCGTTGCCCCGTGTCCACCACGAGCGTGGATTATTAGACGTACGACACCGTATATATATCCGCGTTATCGATACTCACAACGTGGCGTTCGCCATATGTGCATCAGAACTTGCTCCGCGGTCCCGCGCGCGACACACGTTGCGCGAGTCGTGAACGGCGCGCGACGAATTATCAAATGTCTCGCTACACACTTAAACTCCTAAACCTCTCGAAGGCTAGGACACGTCGAACGCCGGCTACGTGTTAAACATGACTTCCACCGTAGCAGTCGCGGAACGCGGAGCCCGCACCAGAGCGCAGCAGTAGACAGGAAGTCGGTGTGTTCGAAGTTTCGAACATGCGCTACCGGACAAGTCGAAAGGGCCACCTTCGAACTTCGTCCAAACTCCGATTAAACTCCGATTAACTTAGAGCCAGTTCCACAAACGTCGGTTAACTCTTAACCTCAGGTTAACTTATCCTTTGTTTCTTTCTAACGTCCCCCTTAGAAAGAGACGAAGAGTAAGTTAACCTAAGGTTAAGAGTAACCGACATTTGTGGAACTGGCCCTTAGGGCCAATTTCACCAACCACAGTTAGCTTAACCGACGGTTAAAGTTAGCAGGATTGAAAGCAGGGTGGATTCATTTCTATTGGTCAATTCTGTTAACTTTAACCATCGGTTAAGCTACTGTGGTTGGTGAAATTGGCCCTTAAGGGCTCAGTCACAATGAGAGGAATAAGGAATAAGATAAAGGAATAAGGAATAAGGGAATGTCGCATCTCACTTCAGTACACATACATTAAAGTGAGATGAATTATGCCTTATTCCTAATTCCTTTATCGTATTCCTTATTCCTCTCATTGTGACTGAGCCTTAATCGTTGATTAAAGGGTTGCCAACGTGACAAAATTGTGGTCGCGTTCAGCCCAAGCCGCTCAGTAGTAGTCTCGCTTCTTCTTCTTTTTCTTTTTTTTATTAGTTGATGCATGGACAATATGGCGCTCTGTCCACTGCTTGTTTGAGCTCAGTAGCAGTCGATTGGCTCTTACTTTTAGAACCAACCAATCAACGCAGAATGTTCATCAGTGTTCATAAGACGAACTCAACAGTTGTGCAACAGTTGTGTCTGCTGAACGCACCCGTTTGTTGCCTGGCGATATACCCTGCGTTCAAAAACTTTACTCGGGTGAAGTCGGATGCACACCGTGTCATTCTATCTTTGTTATTTACTAAAAGTTGAACAAGGACAGAATGATGCTGGTGTGCATCCGAGTGAAGTTTTCGAACGCAGCCATAATCGACTTAACCTAATTTTTCGTTACATATCTTTTTTTATATAAAAAAAAAAAATAGAAGCTGTGTGCGAGCGTGAATCGGACAGCAGCCTAAATTGTTTTGAAATCAATGCATTGTTGTTGCAGAACATAATCATAATAGAGGAGGGCCTTCCGGGGCATTAGGGCCATTTTTAAGAAGAAGAAGTAGAAGAAGTAACAGGAATGCATATATCATAAATAATAATATATTATAAATAAAATACATTGAGAGACTCAAATGTTCTCCAGTAAGGCCAGGTTAATAAAACGCACAGGGAAGAATCCTATTGGGCGTTATGATTTTTTAAAGCTATTGGCCACTGAATATAATACAACGTCGTCTAAAGGTAAAAAGATTAACGCTGTTTAGCATCTCGCTTACAAAAAGATGTTCTATCAATAAAATATATTACATTTCTCGCATGTTCAATAACAATAAATCATGTTTCAAATTATTAGACGCGCAGGAGCAAGTATTGGCAAACTTAGCGAACTTTGCCTATGACCCTGTAAACTACGGATACATAAGGCAGCTAAAAGTAATCGATATATTTCTCAACGCCTTGTCCGAAAGCAATCCAAAGTTGGTACGTTTCGGTGTCGCTGGTCTTTGCAATTTATGTTTAGGTAAGCATATTTATAATACAGATAAAGAGTCACGTAATATTTGCTGCATTATACGTAATACTGTTCTTTCAGATGCAATAAATAAGATATACATCCTGCGTAATCGAGGTGTCGAGTTAGTATCATCGTTACTTTTTTCTGAAGATGAGGAAATCTTGCTCACAACAATTACTACCTTGATGTTCTTGGTCACATCTGAGTCGGTAGAGGAGATAACATCGCCCAAAATAATTAAACGCATGCAGGAACTTTCGGATGTGTCATATGAACATACACGTGTTAAAAACATGGCAACTTTGTTCCTGGACGACTATTGTAAAGTGAATGATGCGGAGAAAGCGAAGAGAGAACTATAATTAGCCTGTTTGTGAAAAGTAAATAAATCTACTTTATTAAATAGTTAAATCTAATGCTCCTTATTTATAATTAAGCGCTCCATTCTATAAATTGATAAATATTTGTAACTTGCATGTGTAAGAGATAACATCATGAAGCTAATTCGATTCTTTGCCGGGTTTCTCAAAAACCACTCTGTAAGAACTTCCAAAATAAGATCGTTTGCCGATACAACAATGAACAATCTGAGAGAGGGAGACCAAGTGTCAGTTTTAAAAGTGATAACAAATGACGACATACTTAAGTTTGCTGAATTGACAGGCGATCATAATCCGATACACACTGAATCAGCAAGAAATATTGCGCATGGTGCTTTGCTTAACGGCCTAGTGTCAGGCTTAATTGGTACAAAGTTACCTGGTGCAGGTACCATAGTTATTGAACAAAATCTCACGTTTCCTAAACCGTGTTATGCTGGCGATACTGTAGAAGTCATAGTAAAAATTACATCGGTGAGAAAAATCATTAAATGTGCGTACATGTGTATTGCTAATGGAGATAGAATAGTGTTAGAAGGAGAAGCAAAACTTATGAGAAAGATATTGTAATATACTTACATATAATATTGTATCTATAATATTTTATTATTTACATACTGTAAAAATATTTAATATTTAGTATATAGAATTATGAAAATAAAAATTATTTAATAAAAATTTAATAAAACAATAAAATTTTTCTGTTTCAAGATGTGTATGTATAGATACTTCTCTATTGATCTCTTGATAATTGTAGAAAATAGATATTTATATGTAGAGTTTACAATTATTCTTTAAAAGTTCTCTCTTTACAATCGTATCTGAATATCATCGAAATTTAAGTTAAATATTGGCTGTTGCAAATGCGCATGGTATATCTCGATCATAAATACAAACAATTAAAATGGAACTCTTACTAAAATCTGAGGTTTTGCTTAGCAAGCATTCCAAATGTGGCCCATGGAAGCATTGCGACACAATATAACTTTAAAGATTTAAAGCATCGGCCGTACATTCGAGTGGAGTTTTGTGAGGTGATAGGTAATACAGTGAAGTTCTGCAGAAAGAAATCTGCAGTGAGTATAAGTCAATTTAATTTAATTATTGACAAATGATTACGGATATTTCTCAGAAAAAGGTATGCTCCTCTTTTTATCTCTTTAATTATTTTTTGGAATCATTTAATATAAATTAATCTGGCTAATATATATACTACGTTTACGCGAGCGTTACTTCTGTAGTAACTTATGATAATTCACTCGTTTACGCGGAGTAAATTATCGTAAGTTACTACAAAATCCCGTTTACGCGAAGGAAAATTCCGTTTACGCGAAGGAATTATCGTAAGTTATTTACTACAGAAGTAACGCTCGTGTAAACGTAGTAATAGTTAAGATTGAACAGAAAGCGATGTTATAATAATAACAGCAGCTTACATTCCAGGTCAAAATGTATTTAACATTAGTGATGGCTCTTTGCATATCGTATTCTTATGCAGAAAGTAATAGTACTGTTACAAGTACTATTAAGCCACAATATAAGTCCTCAAATACAAAAGAACAGCCAACCGGCTGCGTCTGTGCCGTATTCTTAAGCGGACAATTCAAAAAAGGCAGCAAGGAGCAACCTAAAGGATATCCTGCACTTCTCCATGAACATCCCGATCCGCTTCCATGTAATACTGTTGGGAACAAACTTTGCGTCAACAAATGTCTCGATGCTGTGAGTTTTTAAATTTTTATTCTTGTAAGGAATATTATATATTTTTTTTCATGATATTTTTAAGCTGGAATACTTGTTAATAACGAAAGATTAAAATATTTCACAGATAGTGAAACATTTACCAAATAGTCCAGCAATTCTCTGTGCTTCTATAGATCGTGATTGTCACAAAGAAAGGGTGAGCATACACACTCACATATAACATACACATATAAATTAATATTTATTATATCTTTATTTGAAATTGTTATAAAAACAGAATTATTTCGTGTAGTGAAACCATACGATATTTCTTTGCAGGCTTATCTCTTTATCAAGAATTGCAAAGATGAGTGGACAAATACGAATCTGTCAGCCGGTAGAGAATATTGCTGTAAAGATGGCACGCCATATAAGTGTTGATTAACGTATATTTATAGGATAGCATCTCTGTAAGACAACTTATAGTTTGTAACTTTGGCAATTCTAATAGCAATTTCTAATAAATGCATTAACTTGACGCCCATAGTACTTTGAATATCCCACCGCTTGTCTAAATATAGCTTGTAGATCATCAGATACGCTCTACAAAGACACGCAGGAATTCAGCACGAATATCTCAAACCACCCTTCTATATTTAGACTTCGAGGTGTGAGAATTTTGTAACGCGTCAGAGTTTGACAATTCATAAAACTATCGGAGTAACTGTTAAGGCATATCCCGAACCTCCACTTTACATCACTAGGTCAAGTTCAAGCGTAACCTCGGGAACTTCAATCGGACTACAATGTCAGCTTTAAATTACACAATCATACTGTTTATCGTTGCAATTTTACGACCGCGCAAAGTTTGGTCGACTACCTGTGAATATATTAAAACCAATCGGTGTCATACAGTCATAAGCGCAAAGATGCGCCACGTTTTATAGAGACTAGCAAAGACGCGTGATACACGCGCACGATAGAGAAACAATACGAGAGATTCCGTGGTGGCCGAATACGCAAAATGTGCGCACGAGTTCTGACGTGTCCGCTGTGCTCGCAACCCGGATTCTTGACGCTTGACGCGTTACGAGCCGGACTTGTAAGTGTAGCGACTCGACCCCTCATATGTCCCGTCTGTAATGAGGTACTGTTAGGGATAGATAAATTAACTATACATCTATTTGGTCACACAATCAATCTGAGCAGCGGTACAGCAGAATCGTCTAAATTTGCGGATGTTGCTGCCGCCGATAGGCATCTGGTCGCCGTCCATAACGCGCACAACGTTGCTCCACAGGACTGGGATACATTGAAGCAATTAGGCAAAGCTGTAAGTGGCAACAAAAGAACTTGCATAGAGCCGTCAGATTCTGGTGTGTCAAATGTAAGAAACGATGTCTCTGTTGTAAACTCCCAGCCTAAAACGCAAAGCCAAAATTCATCGATGAGAGGCGCGAGTCAATCAGATTACAGTCGTAACGTGAACATCCTTCCGCAATCAGACGGGAATCACAACGCAGCCCAGAGAACGACCGCAAATCTGCAACAAGGAACATTGAAAAAAAATTGTGCGACGCAATATTTTTGTAACGACAATATCAAACACTTGAACGTACCCCAGGAAGCTATACAGGCGGAGAAAACGACTATATCAGATTTAATTATTGCGACAAAGGTGGCAGGGACTGAAGATGCCAACGTCTATCGAGATATTGGAAGGGAATGCATCGAATCGAACAGCGGCCAATGTGTCATAAAGGAAAGACTGATGATAAGAGATTTACTTGAGGAAGAACGTGACCCTAATTTCCAACCAGTCCAGAATGTAATGGCAAATGTTTGCGCGAAAGAGCCACCAGAGGAGCACAATGGTACGGAGAACTTGCCTGATACGAGGAAAACGAATGTCGGGGATCAAAATAAAAATTTAGACCACAGGCAAATAGTGCCTCACACGCAACCAAGTACCAGAGCCTTCCGTACGATAGCGCCGAAAGAAAAAACGGAAAGATGTAACATATGCGGTTTTCACTTTCCTGACACCAACATCTTGGCTTTGCATAAACAATTAGTGCACGAACAGGACTCGAGCAATAGCTTAGAGAAAGTTCCTAAGAATTATTCTTGCCATCTGTGCTCCAAGGTATTTAAAATGCGAGGCAGTTTAATGGTGCATATGAGAGTGGCGCATATCGGACATAATTTAGGCAAGTGATTATTACACGTAAATAATTAATTCGATATAATACGTAATTATTATATATATATATATATATATATATATATATATATATATATACATACACACACATAGTTTAATAATTCAATGCGTAAACAAAAGTTTTTTCACGCGTGACAGGTTCTTTTTCTAAAGACGACCAAATTGAAGTCGCATGCCCAGGCGACGCTGGATACACGTGTCCCACATGCGGAAAGAAATTCAAGAAAGTAAGGATATTTCCGAGCGTTTTGTTTATAATATTTGTTACAAATGGTACCTCTCAACAATTTATTAATTTTCCTCTCGCTTTCGTTTCAGGAGCAACATGTGATACAACATTTGAAGACCCACGAGGGCAAACAGTGGGAGTGCGACACTTGCAGTAAGATGTTCACGACCAAGTATTTTCTGAAGAAGCACAAACGGCTGCACTCAGGAGAGATGCCGTACAAGTGTAAAATATGCGACAAGAGCTTCACCTTCCAGCAATCGTATCATAAACACAGACTTTATCACAAGGATGATAAGCCGCACACCTGCACGACTTGCGGTAGATCGTTCAAAGAACTCTCTACGCTACACAATCACGAGAGGATTCACACCGGGGAGAAGCCGTTCGCATGCGAGACATGTGGTACGTTTGCGAAAAGAACGAACGTTAAAGACGAGCCGACGCAGAATTAACCATGAATAATCGTTTGGGATTGACTAACAGTTAACATAAATTATTTTGTTTGCGTAGTGTCTGTAATATTATGGTGTGCCGTGCATGGCTTACTTAAAAGCAGGTAATTCTCACAAGATAATTTCACGCCGGGCATTTTATCTTGTAAATGTGCTGCAAGCCACACGACAGTGATAAATAATAATCCTCCTACAACTGCCGTACTAATTCTTCCGTAGGAAAATGTTTCCGTCAGCGTGTTTCGTACTTAGTCCATCGTCGAATTCACACAGGAGTGATGCCTTATAAATGCACAATGTGTGGCAAAAGCTTCCGATACAAGGTACAAAGTGTTTCATCAAGTGTTTCCAGACGTTACGTTCTTGTCTTCTAATAGCTCTCACACGCAATTCATGCTTATAGGTGAGTCAAAGAACTCATAAATGCCCCGTGCAAACATCGGGCACTGCTCAGCAATTGATACCAGATACCCGGGAGGCTGAGAACGGAACAGTCGGGCCGCAGACCGTCGACATCCTGCAAGAAAGTCAATCGATGACGAACACCGCCGACAACGAGGAAAACAAATTCGTGTTGATAATAAACGTGCAGGGACAACATGTTTTAGCACTGCAATCGGAAATAAATAACATGTCTTCCGAAAGAAAGGAACAAGGCATTGAATTTAGAGATGCTGGTAATAGTAATGAGGATTCGAAGAGCAAGACGTGGGATACTAATGATCTCAATAGCGTTGGACTCGAGGAGTCGGCGGAATCGATTGAGAGGGTGCAATCGCATAACGAAAAGATAGACGCGAAAAGCACGAACGATTTCTTTTCCATGGTGATGTCGCCCCTCGAAAGCAGCATGTCGTCTCCGACGTTCGAGATGGAGCACTTGAGAGTATCATCGCCTAAGCGTAAAGAGGATCCGATAGATTCTTATACAGACTTCCCGCAGGTCTCTGACAGCGTGCAAATAAATCTAACAGAGCCAGGTATGGAGCAAGGCTTCAATCATAACAAGGATGTCGCCGATTCTTTACAAACCATAAATGAAGAATCACTGAAGGAACTACTGTACGGTATGGATAGAAAATGAAGTAAACACGATACTTATAACGCGATAGTACAAACTAACGATGCATTAGCATCCGTCCTAGATAAATATATAGAGAATTTGTTCAGAGATATTTATTCCAAGTATAAAACTTATGTAACTGTAGTTACTTGATCACCATCTTTATACAGAGTGTATGGAAAGGTATAAGGTCAACCAACTAGGAGGTGAACTAGTCCTGATCGTTTAACGGTGTTTTTCTTGATTTGATTGCAGATGTAAAATCTTATAACATATACTCTATGTATAAAGTTCTGTATTTACTAAACCATATAATGAATATAACAAAAGTTTATATTATAGGTATTATATGTATTCTCAAGCTCCTCTCTTTCACCTCTTAATTGGTTGACCTTACCTTTCCATACACCCATATCGACGGTGTAGACAAAATAATTGTATATAATTTATTAGTCTTGGGAATAACTAAATAACAGCGAATTTAGCAGATATACATTGATTTCTAAATTAAAAAGACTGCTATACATGACAATATCTAAGTGCAAGAGCACAAGTACAAACGCTTTGATGGATAAAATGTCCAATAGACATTAACTCAGATAGCGCGCTGGTGATATTTAATCGTCATTTTGGCGTAAAAAAATGTCATTTTTTGGGAAGCTGAAGATGCGATAATATCACCTCAATACACATTGGGTATTCCAAAGAGTATTCTGTCAAGACATAATGACTTTGGTCATTAAAGTAAAAGCGTAAAATTCATTAATAGTGCATATATTTACTATAAACGCATACGAGAGTATTCGAGTCACGTAACATCCTTAATTTACGCGTACTCACCGCAAATTCAAGACGTTGACATGGTGAGAATAATTTCGAAATACTAAATTATACAAACGAATAATAAAACGATGTTTTTCGAAACTTCTACGCACAATAGAGCACATATTAGGAATACGAATAAATATTAAATATTAATAATCGGAATTAGAAATAATAATTAAACGTAAAGGCGCACAATGAAAAATATAAGGAACAAGGAACAGATATTAGCGATTAGAAAAATCAGAGAGAGGAATAAAGCTGGGGTGTAGCAATAGTTGCTTTCCATTTACACTCAAGTGATCTGAGTTCACTCAGTTATGTGAGTATTTTATACTTAGGTAAGATGTCATTTTGTATTTACCTGCTTATTTTGGTGACAAAGCTATCGCATAATAATCGAGATAATATAATACATGTCCACAGCCTCACTTTTAATGTTCGAGTCTATTAGATTCATTAAAGCACATGGTCTCGATTATGGATAGAAACTCAGTTGAATCTCACTTGCCAGCATGCAAAAAGAACGTGCATTTAACTGAGTTATGACGTCACAAGTGAGAATTATCCGAGTTTTGATGTAAATGGAAAGCATCTAATTAAAATACACGGCTTCTGATAGATTAAAAATCTATTCCCTATTTCTATTGCCTGTATTTTTCATCGTGCGTCAAACTTTATTCTTGATTCTTTAGCTCTAATCGCTAATATCTGTTCCTTATATTTTTCATTGTGCCTTAACGCAAATGGAAAAGAATAAAATATAAGATTATATAAATATAGGAATATTCCTACATTTATATATCTTAATATTTTTCCTATATTTATATATTTTAATATTGTAATATTTGATATTTATTCTTATTCCTAATATGTGCTCTATTGTGTGCAGGGCCTTACCTCGCGAGAGAGCCTTAATTCTCGAAAAATATCGCATACGATATATGTTATATCACACTTTGCAACCAATAGCACACTTGCAAAGTGTGATTTTGTAGTGACATTAATAAAATATCGTATGCGATAATGTTCGAGAATCCAGACTTCAGAAAGTCCCTTCAATAACAAATTACGAAATTATGGGCATGAAGCGACATAACCTCTCGCGTTTGTTGATATAACCATGAAATACCGCCGCAATCGCGCAATGAATAACAAAGACAAAACGTTACCTGTGGCCCTGTCACCTGTGTCGACTTGTGTCGCTTGCTGGAAAGCTGACCTTGGATGTTGAAAAAAGACTTTAGTCGCTAAATGAAAAGCACCCATTGGGTGCGTTCAGCCGATACTCCGCTAGCCTAGCAATCGTGAGCAGTCGCTCGTTTCCTCTCCTTTTAATCCATTGGGTCAAAGGAGAGGAAACGAGCGAAAACGAGCGACTGCTCACGATTGCTAGGCTAGCGGAGTATCGGCTGAACGCACCCATTGTGTGGCGAGTGGCGACGGTCAGCGACGGTCCCGTCTGGCCGGTCTGGCGCGGATTGATTGGTCGGCGCGGCCAGGAGCGCGGACGCGTCCGCCAATTGGGCAGCGAGACGGGCGAGACGGCCAACACGCGCCGCGGTGTCGAACATCTCAAAAGCGCTGTTTGCACTCCGGTCGAGATATCTCGTAGCAGACGACGCGCCGCACGATCGACTTGACAGCTCACTCCGTATTTTCACGTGTGCCATCGCGCATCGCGTTGCGTAACTGGAGTCCGACTTCCAGGGAGGAGCTCCCTTTTTGCGGTGAGTAAGGAACGTTCGCCACGCTGGCGAGAATGGCCACCGCTTTTATCATCGTCGTCGTCGGTTACGCGATCGACCGATTGACGGATGACGTACAGCTGATCGAATCGACGTGCAGGCAAGCAGGCAAGCAGGCAGGCAGGCAGGCAAGCAGGCTGTTTTGACATCGCCACGGATGGCCGTTTATCGACGACCAATTGGCCGCGGTCGGTTGCGGGTCCCGGCCAATCGTAACCGTCGCGATCGGGACCGACCGCGGCCGGAAACCTGGCGTAATCTGTTGCGACACGACGCGTCAAGTGTCTTCTCGCCTCCGCTTCCAACGTCGTCGTTTCGTCACATTTTTTAACGTGACGCGACAACGGGACGAAACGGAACTGGGGTAATGACACGACGAATCATGTCGCAATTTCCGACGCATCTCTCATCTCGCAGCGGCGCAATCGCTCGGTCGGTTCGAACGCATGTATCCGATCCGATCGGACCTTGAAACGCGCAAGCTGCGTGTGTTTACACAAAAGCGTTTTGCCTTGCGGCGTAGCGCTCGTCGATAGAACGACTGATAAGATTTATCGTTCGGCGAAACGAGCGTGAGGCGATTGTTTGGAAAAATCGATGATTCCCCGAGCCGCGATTTAGGAATACGCGACGAGACGGTTATCTCGAGCCTCGTATCGTCGTATCGGATAAACGGAGAGATGCGGACGATATACGCCTCTCGTTCCTCCGCTCGGCTCCGTCGTAAAGGTGAACGATGACAGAATCGTTTCGTGCGAACGTCATCAATTTCCGGCGATAACGCGCAGAATAAATACATGAACGCAGGTTACATAAACGGCACGCGCGCGCGACAGGTATACATAAGCGTCGCGTGTAATACGCATCTGTACCTTTTTTCTTCGCTTTTTTTTTCTAAGGGAGAATTTGATCGATCGATTACGCGAGCGGCGCGTTACGCGGGGAACTTGAGTTCTCGAAAAAAGCGGGATTTGCGCAAGCCGCGCTTAACGGCGGACAGGTTTCCGCTGCCCGCAGTAAAAATGAAGATTTAAAAAACGGCCAGGCAAAATGGCTGTTCGCGCGCCATGCGGTCGCGGCGCAGGAGCGGCAAGCGGTGTCCCCGGATCGAGGGAGAATCTTGCGCGCACGCGCGAGACGGACAGACCGATGCGTCGGGCTCCTTCCCGTCTCACGGGGAAGAAGCAACTTTTAATCGTTTATTCGATTTATTAACAATTTTTTCTGGCCCCACCACGTGTGGCCATATTGGCCCCGTGACGTCAGATGCGAGAAGTCATGCGAATTTTTTTCCTCACGCTATATATACGCGTCGTAATAAATCAGTTCTCCGCTCACGGTGTAATGTCATTCGCGTTCGATAGTTGTACATACATACTAGAGTGTTCCCGACCTGATGGCGCAATCGAATAGGGAGTGGAAAAATTAAACAGTAAAAAGAACGAGTAAATTGAAAAACTTTTTTTTATGCGATGCTTCGTTCTCGAGAGGCACGATTTTAAAAATTAATATACTATATCAAGTTTTTTAATTAAAAAAACTCAAACACAAATTTGTCTCAGCAACTATCAAGATATAATATTGAAAAATGGTCTTATTTATATATATTTTTTTTTTCAGTTAACTTAAATTATTTTATGTTGCTTTATACAGTAAGATATTGTATATATTTTATTTTTTATTAATAGGTATATAACACAAGGTATAAATTAAAAAAAATTATCGAAACGTAACTGCATACTTTTCTAATTTTTATTTAATAAAAAAATTATGTACCTCATTTTCTACTTGTTTTATCATATTGTTCACCGGTTCGGTGACACCCGGTAGATTAGTAAAAAAAAATCCCCCAACGTGTCATCCAGCAACTTGTTCATTCTCTGTCAAATCGATCAGGTACACATATAAATTTTTTTTATGTGTACCTTAACGGGACACAAAATGTGCACCTAATACGGCACGTAATAACTTTTCATGTATCATCAGCTCAAGAGAGAAAATGAAAGAGAAAAAAAAGGGAGAAGAAAAGAGATGCGAGAATTTACACGCGCCCCAGCGAGGCGCCCCACCCAAGCGCGGTCCCTGAGCACGCGAGAACGGCCGCGATTGGCGCGCGCGATACGGGGGGGGAAGGCACATTTCCCAAAGTTCGTACGCTCGTGACAGGTTTCCGAACGCAACGCGAACGGCTTCCGCTGAGCCCGAGCCGCTGACTGGTAGTGCACGCGTACGCGCGTGTGTGTGCGTGTGATTGCTTGCCGTTGTCTCTCGCATCGTCTCGCCTTGCCTGTGTGTGCTGGCTCGCTTGCGTGTGACATTGGGCGACGGGGGCGGAGCGTACCGCGGCCACCCAGTCCTAACCAACCCGAGCCCGAGGCTCGATCGCCGACATTCCGCCGACTCGCGTACAGACCGTACAGTGCGCGTCTCGGGGCCCGAATGCACGGCGTGTCGTTTTCCCTTGTTGCGCGACACGATTGACAGCGGTGTGTGTGTGCGTGCGTACGTGCGTGCGTGCATGTGTGCGTGTGGTGTGCGTGCA